CTCAGCACCACATACAAATAGATGAAATAAACAAATAGATAAAAATACAAGGTCCATCAAAAATTAAAAAGTATTAAAAAAAAGAAAAGGTAGTAAAGAAATTTAATATGACAGGGACACAAGGTTGGTTCAACATATGGAAATCACATCAACAGACTTAAAGACAAGAATCACATGATTATCTCAAAAGATGTAGAAAAGGCATTTGACAAAATACAGCATCTATTCATGTTCAAAACACTAGAAAAGCTAGGGCTAGTAGGAACAAACCTCAACATTGTACAAGCTATCTATGCTAACCCCAAAGCCGACATCATTCTAAATGGAGAAAAAATGAGAACATTATCTCTAAAAACTGGAACAAGACAGGGATACCCACTTTCATCACTTCTACTTAACATAGTCCTGAAAACTCTAGCCAGAGTAATTATACAGAAGAAAAAAATGAAAGTGATAAGAATAGGAAAAGAAGAACTCAACTATCCCTATTTGCTGAAGACATAATTCTATATTTAGAAGACCCCAAAAATTCCACTGGAAAACTTCTAGAACTAATAAATAAATTCACCAAAGTAGCAGAATATTATCAGCGATGAATCAACTGAGTGAGAAATTAGGAACACTATCCCATTCACAATAGCCTGAAAAAAAATATTTGGGAATCAATCTAACAAAAGAAGTGAAAGAATTCTTCAATGAAAACTACAGAACATTAAACAAAGAAATTGAAGAAGACCTTAGAAGACAGAAAGACCTCCCATGTTCTTGGATAGGCAGAATTAATATTGTCAAAATGCCCATACTACCATGGCGCTGGGGTTGTGGCTCAGTGGTAGAGTGCTTGCCTCACACATGCGAGGCCCTGGGCTCAATCCTCAGCACCACATAAAAATAAATTAATTAATTAATTAAAGATATTGTGTTCAACTACAATTTAAAAAAATGTGCATACTACCTAAAGTCTATAGAGATTTAGTTAATCTTGTTAAATCTATTAAAATTCCAATGACCTTCTTCATAGAAATAGAAAGAGCAGTCATGAAATTTATTTGGAAAAATAAGAGGCCCAGAATAGCCAAAGCAATCCTCAGTGAGAAAAGTGAAGCTGGAGGCATCACAATATGACCTTAAATTATATTACAGAGCTATAGTAACAAAAATGGCATGGTATTGGCACCAAAACAGACATGAAGACCAATGGTACAGAATAGAAGACACAGATATAAACACACATAAATACAGTCATACTAGACAAAGGCGTCATTAACATACATTGGAGAAAAGATAGCATCTTCTGTAGCAGAATGAAATTGAACCCTTATCTCTCACCCTACACAAAACTCTGGTGGATAAAGGAACTAGGTATTAGATCAGAGATCCTGTACCTATTAGAAGAAAAAGTAGGCCCAACCCCTCATCATGTTGACTTAGGAACCAACTGCCTCAACAAGACTTCAAGAAATAAAATCACGAATCAGTAAATGGGATGGTATGAAACAAAAAAGCCTTTTTTTTAGAGCAAAGGAAACAATCAAGAATATGAAGAAAGAACCTACAGAATGGAAGAAAATCTTTGCCACCTGCATCTGAGATAGAGCATTAATCTCCAGGACATATAAAGAACTCAAAAAACTTAACACCGAAAACCAAATAACCCAATCAATAAATGGCCAAAAGGACTGAATAGACACTCTATGGAAGAAGAAACATGAATGGTCAACAAATATATGAAGAAACATTCAACATCTCTAGAAATTAGAGAAATACAAATTAAAATTACACTGAGATTTCATCTCACTCCAGTCAGAATGGTAATTATCAAAAATAAATTTTGGCAAGGATGTGGGGGAAAAGGTACACTCATACGTTGCTGGTGAGACTGCAAATTGGAAAGCACTTTCCACTCTGGAAAGCAGCATGAAGATTCCTTAGAAAATTTGGAATGGAACCACCATTTGACCCAGCTATCCCACTCCTTGGTTTATACCTAAAGGACTTAAAGTCAGCATACTACAGTAACATAGCACATCAATGTTTTTGGCAGCTCGATTCACAATAGTTAAACTATAGAACCAACCTAGGTGCCCTTCAACAGATAAATGGATAAAGAAAATGTGGTACATATACATAATGGACTATTACTGAGCCTTTAAGAAGAATGAGTTTATGGCATTTGCCGGAAAAAGGGTGAACTGAAGACTATCATGCTAAGTGAAATAAGCCAATCCCCCCAAAAGAAAGAATTTTCTCTCTGATATGCGAATACTGACTCACAATAAGGGGCGGGTTGATAGAAGTTCACTGGATTAGACAAAGAAGAATGAAGGGAAAGGAGGGGAATGGAAATAATAAAGACAGTAGAATGAATTGGACATAACTTTCATATGTTCATATATGAATATATGACCAGTGTAACTCCACATCACATACAAGCACAAAAATGAGAAGTTATACTCCATCTGTTTGATATGTCAAACACATTCTACTGTCATGTATAAATAAAAAAGAACAAATAAAAAAAATTTTAAGAAAAGAAACAAAATATAAACAAATAAATAAATAAATTTAATATAAATTTAATCATTTATTCCTTACAATGGCTAGCATGGCTATCAGTGTAAACAAACTTTTAAAAAATAATACTGTATGTACTTGTGTTGTAAAAGTCAGGATAAATATCTATAAGATGTATTAGAGGGCTAGGAGTGTAGTTCAGTGGTAGAACACTTGCCTAGTACATGAGTGAGGGAGTGAGGCCCTGGGTTCGGTTCTCGTTACCACACACCCTCACCCACACACAAAAGCATCAGATGACTTGGTGTGGTGGCATATGCCTGGGCATATGCCCAGTGGCTCAGGAGGCTGAGGCAGGAGGATCATGAATTCAAAGCCAGCCTTAACATAGTGATGCCCTTGGCAACTTAAGGAGACCCTGTCTCAAAATAAAAAAATAACAAAAGGGCTGGGGATGTGGCTCAGTGGTAAAGCACTCCTGAGTCAATTCTTGATACCAAATGAAACAAAATAAAAGCGTCAGATGTACTACTGAGCAAATAGATAATTTCCATGAGCATGTTATTTTGTCCTCCCACTCCCAAAAGTTATATGTTGAAGCCCTAACCTCTAATGTGACTGTGTCTGGAAACAGGGACTTTAAAGGTGGGCCGTAATCTAATGTGACTAGAGAAAAGGAAATCAGGACACATACAGGTACAGAGGAAAGACCACGAGCAGACATAACAAGGAGGTAGCCATTTGCAAGCCAGGAAGAAAGGCCTTTGAAGAAAACAGATCTGTTGACGCCTTGATCTTGGACTTCAGCCTCTAGAACTGTGAAAAAAAAATTTCTCTAAGTCACCCAGTTTGTAGAATTTTGTTATGGCAGTTTTAGCAGACTAAGAAATCATTCTATAGGTTGGTTTAAATGTGGAGTATCCCGAACAAGGTACATGGAAAGTCAGATGGTCTGCCCTGGAAAACTTCTAGATGATTTGGTGGCCCTCCTGATGAGGAAGAAGACAGTGGCAAAGATGTTTGTGAAGAATTTGACTGAAATTATTTCATAAAATAAGAGTAGAAAAAGCAGTGTTTTAAAAATAATATTGTTAAATATCAAATGTTAACTTTTTTCTCCTGGTGCTGGGGATGGGAACCCAGAACCTAGGGCCTTGCTTATTGTAAGCAGGCATACTACCACTGAGCTACACTTCTAGCCCCCAAAGTTAACATTTAACAATTTCATCTAGATTTAAGTTTACCATTTGAGTTTGCCAAAAATCTTCTGATGAACTTTTATTGAGGGGAATAGAGATTTTCTTATAATTAGGATATGTGCAAATAGATTTTTTTTTCAAGTTAGAATGAAGTATAGGCCTACAGGGAAAAAAAAATAACCATGATGCTATTTAGTGTCAATCGGTCAAATTAATTTGGAAATGAAAATGACAAAGGAAAGAATCACTTTATTGAAGTGAGTTTCAAATACGACAAGTGTTGTTTGGGTGGTTTTGGTTGGAGTTGATCTATACAGTTTATAGATACATAGCATAAAGAATGCCTTTTGAATAAAACATAAAATGAACCCTCTCCTTTATCCTATGTCCTGACATGAGTTGCTACTGGGTGTCCTTCTGCTGGGTACAGAGGCTGCCTAACCTAAAATCTAAGTGACAATTGTTTTGTGGTTCTTAGAAAATGCTGGTATCCTAGCTGGGTATGGTGGTACACACCATAATCCCAACTACTCAGGAGGCTGAGGCAGGAGGATCACAAGTTTGAGTCCATCCTGGGCAAATCAGTGAGACTCTGTACCAAAATAAAAATTTTAAAGGCTGGGATATAGCTCAGTGGTAGAACACCCCTGGGTTCAATCCCTAGGACGAAAAACAAAAAAAGAAAATGCTGGTATTCACTGAGTGTAAGTGCAGACATCCAGGGATGTCTTCCCACTTCTTTTGATTTTTGGTGTTCTTTTCTCTTTAAGAAACCAGGTGAGTACTTCTCATTCTCATGAGTTATATGTAGTCCTGAATTTTGCATTTTCTTTAAATGCTGTTTATTTAGTCTCTTCCCAAGTTCCTCAGTGAAGATACCATGTTACTGAGAAAGGACTTCGTTTTGACTGAAAACCTGCCCCAAGGCTTGAAACAATGATTATGTAAAGGGAACAATTAAATACAAGGGAACATTTAAATACAAGTTTTCTAGCCTAGTTATCTCTATGACAAAATAGACAAAAGGCATGCATATATCCTCATCTTCAAAATTTTCCTATCAGAGATGTTTCCACCAGAAGCTATTAAGCTATTGCTCCAATCTAAAGAGCTTGTGAAGAGGCAAAGTCTTATGAACTGCAACTTGTAAATAAACTGAACATTGAATATTATTGCCTTTTATTAAATACAAGGAGATGCATAAGAAATAGGTAATAGACTATAAACTGAAGCATGAGTTTCTGTTGAAGTAGGGATTTAGGTGCATGTGGGTTCCATGCAAGTGAACTGTAAGTGTTTTCCAATTCCAACTAGCCCAAAGAATATAATGACATTCATTCCAAGGAAAGCATTCATGTGAACAAGCATCTGGGATCTAAACGAGGTTGAACTACAGTGTCCACCACACTGGTACTGTGCTTTTCAGGGAGACCAGGGTAACAGATAACATCAGTTGCTATAGCACCTAATATGATGCTTTGTATACAATAGATGCTTAATAAATGCAAAAACTGTCTTGCCAATGAAATTTTGGAAAGCTGGAGAAGGGATAGTGAAGATGGTACTGGGAATTTTTAAAAAAAACCAAAATCTTAAATCTTTTTCATCATACAGGTATTTCTGTAGTACATACCATGAAAAAAAATTTTGAAATTTATAGAATTACAGGCATCTATGAGAAAATAGACCAGTATATTAAATTGAATAAAATATATGCTGCTGGAAAAATGATCCTGGAATATTTATCAATAGCATGGGTGTTGATCTTCATGCTCACGTAGCTGCTTCTTGGACTTTTCCTCTGGGGAGAGCTCCTCTCTGAGGCCAGGGTCAGCTGCACCATCATCCTGTCAGGCTTCTCTCCATTCTCTTGCATGTAGTTGCCCAGGTCGTTCACTTCGCCATCACTGTAGCTGCTATCCAGCATCACAGCCCGCGACTGCGGTAACCCACAGGCGCAGGGGAGCTGCAAATACAGCAAACGTTCACTGGCTTTTGAGCTCAGTGTCATCGCTCAGAAGGAAGCCCTACCAATGCAACTGCATGATGATGTTGCATTTCTCCAGTTTCTTTTATTCCCAGTTTGGGGGAAAGGTGGGAAAACGACAGTGTTTTTACTATCAACAGCCTAAAAGAGCAAGTATTCATTTTTGTTGAATCAAAGTCTACAAATTGACGCTTAGAAAACAGTGCTGTGTCATGCAACAGACTATCAAGAAGGTTCACGATTAGAAAAATCACCCTGTTCTCTGTGAGAGTATAAACATACTGAGCCTATGGTTAAAAATGTTTACAAAATCACATTATTATGTGCGTGTGCATGCACGTGAGTGGTGGAGGTAGGAATTGGAAAGATGTGGCAAACAGGTTGTGGAAATAGGTTAGTACTGTGTGGTAAGATTTTTCTGGAGGAGATAACTATCAATTTGCAGACTGGTTGAAGAAAGGAAAGCCAGACTGGGAAGAAAGATAACCTGGGAAGGGGTATGGGACATGTATGAGGTCATATGTAAAGGAAAATTTCCCAGAATGGAGGAGCTTCATCCCTGGTGTGTTCTTTTATTCCTCCTCTGCGTTCATAATTTGTTCCACGGTGTTAAATTGCCATTTATTTTTCTCCTGGAATTCTCTCATTAAACTCTGAGCAGCAGCAAGATTAAAGAAACCATGCCTTAGTTAAGTTGGCTTAGTGGCTCCTGGTATATGGTAGCTGCTAAAGAAAAGTTTCAGTGAATGAAAGATGTAGTCGAGTAAATGTTACACTGTTATGATACACATCAATTTGTTCTTTACTACGACCTTGTGAAGGAGGATGGGGGAAGGGGTATCACAACCCCATTTTACAAAGAAAGTCTGACTTACCCACAGTCCCACAGCCAGACCAGGCTCCACCCTGACCCAGCCCCATTATGTACACGGGAAAGTCACCTTCTCTCGTAGCTTCAATTTCCGTTCCTTCCTCTCCTGCACCGTGGTCAGGTAGTTGACCGCTGCGTACTCCAGCACCGAGAGAAACACGAACACAAAGCTGACCCAGAGGTAGATGTCCACCGCCTTGATGTAGGACACGCGGGGCATGGAGGCGTTCACACCCGTGATGATGGTGGACATGGTCAGCACCGTCGTGATGCCTGTAGCAGACATTGACAATGAAGCACCCGGCTCATCTTCCACCAAATACTAGATGGCTCTGTGCCTCTGCTTCTTTGTCCCTACTGCTCCCTCAGCCTACAAGGTCTCCATCCAGACCCTCTGTCTAGCAAACACCTACTCATCTTTCAAGATTTAGCTTTTATGAAAGTTTTCCTTTCACTCATCCCCACCTTTTCCCTCCTCTGTGTACCTTACAGGTTCAACATAGCCTGGGATCACTTTATCCTTTTGCAAAGAATCCCAGACATTTTGGCATTGAGACATTTGTTTCAATTCAATTATTAAAAAGAAATCGCCTACTTAAGCAGGTATGTACATATGCTTCTTGTAAGTACTGCTCAATCTAGGCAATGAAAGTGCATGGGATTCATTTTAATATTTTTGTCCTTGCTGCTATGGTAGAAACCTATGGTCCTGAACCTGCCTTATCAGCTATTAGGCATCTCTGGCAGCCCCTTTTACACTGGACCTGGCTGCCCACTTGAGAATCTAGAAGTCAATATTATGAAGTATGATGTTGTTAACTTCATTTATAGGAGACACATTTAAAAGCTGGAATGTATATTTGTTTAACACAATAACAGTTTTAGCTACCTAACAACCATTAGAGGACAGGGCATCTGTCTGTGGAAATTTGCCCAGGATTTCAAATTAAGCTCAGAACATTTGCTTGGCAAACATCAAATCACAGGGGATTGGGGTCATCCTAGAGGCCAGCTCCAATCCATTTTCACTAAAACCTGGTGGGTCACACTGTCCCTTGCAGCCCCTGCACTGTCTGCACAGTGGTGGTGTGTGTGTGGTTAAATGGGTCCAGTATTTACTTGTCATCCATGGAATGCTTATGGAGGGGGGTTTCTAGGCTGGAGAAAATACAAGCTGGGATAGCTCCTTAAAAATGCAGGTTCCTTATCCTTGTTCAGAGAGTCAGAGTCTTTCAATAAGATAGCATTCAAAAGTTCATTTTAAACCACTTCCCTCAGAGATTCTGTCACAAAGATCCCTTAGGCCATCTTCTGAAAAAAAAAACTTCTTGCTATGTAGAGTCTTAATTATCAAACTTTGCCTGTGAATTAATACCTTGAAGTATTTTCAAGCTCCCAAAGGAGTATAGGACCAATTTGAAAAGAATGATTTTATTTGGAATAACTTGAATTTTCAGATACTTGAAATATGCATTTGAGATGTTCCTTACCTAAGGGGACTCTGGCAGGCACCGCTCTACGGTCAATCCAGAAGGACACCCAGGACAGCATGACCATCAGGGTGGCAGGGAAATAGGTTTGGAGCAAGAAAAAGAAGATGTGACGACGCAAAGTGAAATTAATGTATAGACGATTGTACCAGCCTGAGAGACATAAGGAAGAAAAGAGCACATGTCATAGCTACTCGGCAACATCAAAAAAGAATTTTTTTTTTTTTGGTAGCTGTGTTCCTTTTTATTCCTTTTCTAAAATTGGTGCATTATAATTATATATAATAGTGAGATTCATTTTTATGTATTTGTACATGCATACATGTAACAATATAATTTGGACTATTTCATTCCCCAGTACCTCCCCCTTCCCTTCTGCCCGCCATTTCTTCTACTGGTCTCCCTTCTTTCATGAGATTCCCCACACCTATACATATACCCCTTCCTTTTTTTCTTACTAGCTTCTACATGTCAGAAAAACATACTTGATTTTCCGAGTTTTGCTTATTTTGCTTAACATAATGGTCTCAAGTTCCATCCATTTTTCCTGCAAATGATATAATTTCATTCTTCTTTATGATTGAATAAAGCTCCATTGTATATACATACTGGGTTTTCTTCATCCATTCATTCACTGACAGATACCTAGGCTAGTTCTGTAATTTGGCCTTATGCTGCTAAAGATGTTGAACATTTGTTTTCATATATTTGACCATTTGTATTTCTTCTTTTGGGAAGTGTCTACTTAATTAATTTGCCCATTTACTGATTGGGTTATGTATGTATTGCTATAACATGCTGACTTTATCTTTTGTTTTAGAATATTTTAATCACATAAAACAAGATATATTTCATATAGCTATTACTCCCCAATCTCTAATCCCATTAAACATTTCAGGTCAGAGAAACTGCCAAATTGTTTTTCAAAGAGGCTGCACAATTTTATATACTAACCAGCAGTGTGAGGGCTCAAGGTTCCCACATCCTCACCATCATTTCTTATCTGTTGTTTTGACTATAATTATCCTCCTAGGAGTTAAGCAGTATATCTTGGAGACTTTGATTTGCATTTCCCTGGTGATTAATGATGTTGATCATCTTTTCACATCCTTATTGTCAATTTGTACATTTTCTCTGGAGAGATAGCTGCTAATATCCTTTGATAAAAATTTTTCCCACATTTTTATTAGTGCATTATAGTTGTTCATAATGGTGGGATTTGTTGTTACATATTCATAGATGCACATAATTTAACAACATGATTTGGCCAAAGTCTTTCTCTAGTATTTCCCCATTCCCTCCTTTTCTCCTTCCTTCTCCCTTAATTCTATTGATCCTAGCCCTCCCACCTTTCTTTTCTTTTTTCTTCTCTAGCTTTCACATATGAGAGAAAACATACAACCCCTAACTTTCTGAGTTTGACTTATTTTGCTTAACATAATGGTCTCTAGTTCCATCCATTTTCCTGCAAATGACATAATTTCACTTTTCCTTATGATTGAATAAAACTTCATTGTGTATATATACCATGTTTTCTTTATCCATTCATTCACTGATGGACATCTAGGCTGGTTCTATAGTTTGGCTATTGTGAATCGTGCTGCTATAAACATGGGTATGCATGTTACTATAGTATGATAACTTTAATTCTTTAGAATAAATACCAAGGAGTGCTATAGCTGGGTCATATGGTGGTTCCATTCCTAGTATGTTGATAAACCTCCATACTGATATATGTAGTGGTCGCACTAATTTATAATCCTACCAACAGTGTAAAAGTATTCCTTTTTTTCCACATACTTTCCAACATTTATTATTGTTTGTATTCTTGATGGCTGCCATTCTAACTGGAGATGTAGTTTTGATTTGCATTTCCATCGTTGCTAATGATGTTGAAGAATTTTTCATGGATTTGTTGGCCATTTGCACTTTTTCTTTAGAGAAGTGTCTATCTAGTTATTTGCTCATTTATTAATTGGGTTATTTGGGCTTTTGGTGGTAATTTTTTTTTTTTTGAGTTTTTTTTATATACTCTGGATATTAATCCTCTGTCCAAAGATTAGCTAGCAAAGATTTTCTCCCACTTTGAGGTTCTCTCTTCACATTCTGAATTGTTTCCTTTGCTGTGCAGAAGCTTTTTAATTTGATGCCATCCTATTTATTAATTCTCAGTATTCATAAAATAAATTTTATTCAGGGAATCATAAATGACTTTGGTATTCCTCTGGAACCCTATCATCCCTTTACAAGGTGGAAGTACACAAAATCAAGGAACAGAGGATTATGTAGTGATTCATATCATCTGAATCCATCTCAAGGAATCTTTGGACTTCATCCTAAATGCAAAGAGGACTTCTTAAGAAGGTCATATAAAGGCTGGGGTTGTGGCTCAGTAGTACAGTGCTTTCCTAGCACATGTGATGCACTGGGCTTGATTCTCAGCACCACATAAAAAAAAAAAATAAAGACATTGTGTCTATCTACAAGTAAAGATATATATATATTTTTTTTTTTAAAAAAAGAAGCTCACATATAAGCTTTTCTTACTCAAAATATGGTATAGGGCCCAGCAGCAGCAGCCTCACCATCAACTGGGAGCTTGTTAGAAATTCAGACTCTTAAACCACAGCCCAGATCTACTAAAGCAGAATCTCTACTTAACCACATTCCCTGCACGATTCACATGCATTACGAATATTTGAGAAACACTGATTTAAATAACCCCCTTTGCATTTCTTTATGAGGAAATGTGTTTTAAGATAAGATAAAGCTAAACACAATATTGTATTTAGGCACAGAGTGCACAATCCTTGGTCCAGCTATGCTTTACTTTGCTTTTGTGTTCTTTACAAGGAGGGGGCACACCTGTTCAGACGTTGGACTCCAAAAACAATGACTAGGCCCAAAGGGGAATGACCAGAGGTTCCTGCACTGCAGTTCAGAAGAAGATCATCCAGAAGAACCATGTAAGCCATGTAGCAAGAGGTGATTGACCAAGAGTGGAGCATCACATGGGACTGACTGGAGCAGGGAGAATGTGAATGGAAATCAGGACAAAGTGAACTTCTTTCTTGCTGTACAGAAGAATTCTGGTGAGTATATTGGGGGTGATATGCCATCTACTAATCTGGCAATGTGCAAGTCTCAAATAAAACTACTTACATGTTTGAGTCCTTAATAGTATTTTCTAGGTTATCACTTTTGGTGCATTGGTGGTATTAAAAAAAAAATCACCTCCATCCAATGCCTGAAACCCACTAAACTTCACTTAGGACTGTCATCTTTAGTTTCAAATGCAAGTGAAACAGGCTTTGCTTACTTGACAAGCAAGTCACACCTTTTCTGAAATAAAAAATGAACCACCACAGGCAAACCAAAGCCTCCCCACACTCAGCCCCCACCCCATGCTCACCTGTGCTGCTGTAGAAGGCTAGTTTAGTGGTGGTGTGGAATTCTTGAATGAGGAACTGGGAGAGTGAGATCCGCTCATCTGTCTTTAAAGAGTCATTGCCCTTTTTCCAGTAGAGCATGAGGTCATCTTCTGTATAGGCATCTGAAAAGATGGGAGCCAGCATCAGGCAGGAGGTATGGCAAGGCAGATCTGCCTACCAGGCTACATGGAAACTATGTCCTGATATCCCATACAAATCTCTAGGATTGTGCTAAGATGGTTTGAATAAACAAATTGCAGTATAAACAACACACACAAAAAAGCAAAAAGACAAATATAATTCTCTCCAGTCTTCCAAAAGTCTTCAGAGAAAAATACTCAAACTTAAAGCCTCCTGATTCCTGCAGAAGGGCTCACACCAACAATCCAGCCTACCCTTATAAGATTAAACCAAATCAAATTGCTATATTGTGGTCAGAAATGGCTAAATACTGGCATATTTTCACATGGTTCAGCCTTATAAACCAGGAGTGCTGATCCTTTCCTTCTTATCCTTATTTTTTGGGGGGTGGCGGGTACTGGGTACTGAATCCAAGGATGCTTTATTGTTGATGCTTTATTTCATTCTCAATCTTTTTTATTTTTTGTTTTGAGGCAGGGCACACTAAATTGCTAAGGCTGGCCTTGAACTTGAGATCCTCCTGCTTTAGCCTCCAGGTGTCTGCCACTGCGCCCAGCCCTATGTGTAAACCATTCTCACTGGGTCTCCCAACACCATTTTAGTCCCACTTTCTAACCCTTGATCTGTGATCATAGATTTCTTGTGTTCGCTTAGCTTGACTCTAGTAAACAGTCATTCAATCAGACACTAATCTGTGAAGGTATTTTATGGATGTGGCTAGTATCTACAACCAGTGGATTTTAAGGAAAGAAGATTATCCTGGATAATCTGGGTGGGTCTGATCTAGTTATGTGAAAGGCATTAAGAGTATAACTGAGGTTTTCTGGAAGAAGAACTTTGACCTGAACTGTGGCATCTGCTCCTGCTAAGAGTTCCCAACTTTCCCTGCAGACCTGAGAGAACAGAGCAGCCCCTATAATCCTGTGAGCCAATTCCTCACAATGCATCTCTTACCATATGTAATGGATTGGTTCTGTTTCTCTGGCAGGACCCTGACTGCTACAACCTTGAAGAAGCTACATTTACAGATGGAGGCAGAAGCTGCCTAGTATAGTGAGGGTAGGGGAAGCTCTGGAGCCAGCAAACTTGGTATTTCAGCCCAGCTTTGCCATTCATCTCTGTGTCCAAGGCACAGGCCTTGTACCGTGAATGATGGAGATAACATTCTTGTAGGGATTTTGTGAGGGTTGAATGACAGCACAGAGATAAAGACACTGTGCACTTAGTAGCCACTAAAGGCTACTAAGGCCTCGCCCTTTTCCCACATTCAGTGCCTAACAGAGGGTCCATTTGTCCCAGCTATGTGTGGTGTCAACATCCCCACACTCCCAGGTTTCAGTTAATTACAGTCAGGAGCCACTTGATCCACCACCGTAAGCCCAGATTTGGCTTACAAAGGGGCCCAAGATCAAAGAGAGGCCACACTAGAACTTGGATGCTGCAGGAATTGCCAGTGTTCAGGAGGAGTGTGCAAACTGGAGTGATGGAGGAATCCAGACTATGCCCATCAGAAGGAGTGCTTTGGCAGAGAGAACAGAGCAGGAGAGTGGACAGCGAGGCGTGGGGTGGCTAGCTTGGCTATCCTTCCTAAACCTGGCTCTTCCTGGTGCCTGATTTGGGTGGTTGTTTTATTGTGGTAAAACAAGAATAACATAAAATCCTCTTAACCATTTTTAAGTGTACAGGTTAGTGACATTAAATATATTTATAACATTGTGAAATCATCACCACTAAAACAGTTTCTCATCTTAAACTGAAACACTGCACCCATTAAATAATAGCTCTTCGTTTTCTCTCTCCCCAAGATCCTCACAGTCACTATTCTACCTTCTGTCTTTATTATTTTGACTACTCTAAGTACTCATAAAAGTAGAATTGTACAGTATTTGTCTCTTTGTGATGGACTTGTCTTATTTAGTACGATATCCTCAAGTTCCGTCCATGTTGTAGCATGTGTCAGAATTTCCTTGCTTTGTAATGCTGAGTAATATTTCATTGTATGTATACAGCACAGTTTCCTTGTCCATTCACCTATCACTGGACACATGGGTTGCTTCTACACTTTAGCTATTGTAAATAATACCTTTTCAAGGCTTTGCTTGCATTTCTTTGGTATATGCTGAGAAGTAGAATTGCTGGAACCTATGGTTTTTGATATTTTAAGGAATTGCTGAATTGTTCTCCACAGTAAGCTGCACCATTTTACATTCCTATCCCCAGTGCACAAGGGTTCCAATTGCTTCACATCTTCACCAACACTTTTTGTTGTTGTTTTTTTGATAGTGACCATCCTAATGACTGCAAGTGGGTCACTCACTGTACTGATTTCCATTCTCTAATCATTAGCCATATTGAGCATCTTTTCATGTACTTCTTCTTTTAAAAATTTCTTTTTTAGTTGTAGTTGGACATGATACCTTTATTTTATCTATCTATCTATCTATCTATCTATCTATCTATCTATCTATCTATGTGGTGCTGAGGATCGAACCCAGGGCCTTGAACATGCTAGGCAAGTGCTCTACTGCTGAGCCATGACCCCAGCTTCTTCATGTGCTCCTTTGTAAAATTACTCTGGACTCAGCTTCAATCTAAAAAATCACTTTAAAAGCATAGCCATGAATGAGGAGCACATACTGTTCCTGCTACTCTTTAGAATTACTTTAGGAGCTGTGTGCCGATGCCTGGGAACAAGTCTACTCACAGCTTTCAATTTCAAGCGAGCACGTTTGTGTGTCCAGGGGAAATCGGCTGAAGTCCATGTTGCACATTGCAGTCACTGTAACCCTAGAAACAAAAAGACAAACATCCAGTTTTCAGAGCTTGCAAAAGACAAGTGCAAAATGACAAAGCAAACAGAAAAGGTCTCTGCTTCCTTGCAATATGATAACTGCCTCTTTCTTATAATTCATAAGCAAAGTGTTGGGATTTAGATAAGAAGCTTATGAATGACACCTCTTTGGAAAACTCTTAGGTATTTATGTCTAACCTTAGGAGCAGTGTGAGGCACACAGAATGTCTCTAACTGCTAGAACATTCAAGCATTTTAAAGAAGCAATGGTCTCAATCAACATAGCCATGTGAAATAAAAACTCATTCAATATGATCTCTTAAAACAAGCTTTAGGAGCAAATATTATTTCTCATGTTTTAGATAAATTCAAGTTCTTCTGTTCTTTTATTGATTGTATTGATGTTCAATATTGTTTACAATGTTATGAATACTTAACTCCAGTTGCCAAATTTGGCATTTTAAAAAATATACTGATATTTTTATATTGATAATAGTGTTTATAATTCTATGGCATTCATAGTGACAGAAAAACACTGAGAGATTTGTTATACTAATATGAACACATTAGCTAGCATTGAATGGTTCTGTTCCAGAGTTTACACAGCAAAATCGGCTTCTGCATCAAAGAACAAACAAATATAGGTCATTAGTCATAGATGAAAATCTCCTAGTCAGTGGGAAATTTCATGGCAGGATACAATACTGATTGTTGGCTCATGCTGGATGTACCATTTTTCCTCCAACCATACAAAATATGCTATGCATAAATTGTGGATACGATTTGGATAATATATAGCTAAAAAAAAGAAGTACATATACATTTGAAATTTAAATAGAAATTTCAAGGAAGAGTATTCAAGAAATGAAATTATCCAGATATTTGCCTTATTTCCACCCCACTCCTTTATATATGGAATGGCTGTGTTCTACAGGGTATTTGGGATCATGTGCAGCTAGGTAGTCTCATGACCCCTGGAAATTCTAATAAACAGGGTATATTAGAATATTGACTTGAGTGAGGATTCAGGCAGCAGTTGCCTGGGACACCTAATGGGTGGGCTTCCATTTCTGTGGTTACATCATCAGCATAACTATGCCTAATGGTATCACTAGTGAGGAGGAAATAGGAAGTTTGGGGATACTTGGAGCTAACTTTAAGAACTTAAAATATCAGATGCAGGATTTTTTTTTTTTTTTTGGTTATGAACAAGAGGACTGAATATCTCCTGTCTTTTTACTAGCCAGTACAGAAGCAGATCTTTTTAGAATCACAAACATCATCAGACTGGCCCCTCCTGCCTTGATGCTTTTCCATTCAAAACCTTACGTCACACAAGCATTTGTGGTGTAATCAAAACCCATGTTTATCTTTGTTTCTCCAAGTCTTTTTAATTAGTTTATGGAAAAGGATCTTCCTTTGCCCTGGATGGAATGGGTAGAAACTTAGCAGGTTCTATTTTGTTTGTTTGTTTGTTCTCTGCTCAGTCTCACCTAATAGTCAAAACTCTTTTGGGTCACAAATTATGTCTCAATTCAGAAATAAAGCATTTTAGTCTGAGATCTTATTAATCAATGTTTCAAACTTCATTCAAATTAATATTTCTGCTCCTCAATGAAGATACAAGGCTGGCATTTGAGTGGTTGGTTTCTACCCATGTCTAGTGAGAGAAGAGCAAGAGGGCAGGACGGGTCTCAGGCTGGGTGGCTTCATGGCTCTAAGGACCTGCTATCTGGTGAAAGCTGATCCTTTCTTTTCTGAGACCCTCATCCCCACCTCCATGCAGTAGGTGTCCATGCTCCAGCAGTAGCTCCCCACCCCAGCATGTGGTTCACATTCCATCACACTTAACCATCTCAACAGTCCTAGGGTGCAGACTGACCCTACTGCCATGACAACTTCTGGCTCCAACCACAGGGTGGCTAGAAAGCTCCCTTCTCCCCGCCCCCTTCAAACTGCACACTGTCCCCCAACTGTAGGCACATACACATGGAGCCCTTCAGGTAGTCCCAGTGAAGGGCCACTCTTGGCAGTCTACAACTCCCAGGAAAAGCTTACCAGTCTTTATATATATATATAGTAGCTGGACACAATACCTTTATTTTATTTATTTTTATGTAGCCCTGAGGATCAAACCCAGTGCCCCACACATGCTAGGCGAGTGCTCTACCACTGAGCCACAACCCCAGCCCCTCACCAGTCTCTTTTCCTCACACAATCATTGACTTTTTTATATCTTGAGTTCAAAACCCATGGAATTGCTTTTCAATATTTCCTTTGTAAAATCTACCTAGTGTGATAGAGCAACTCCTTTATGAATTTCCCTTTTTATTCTATCTTGGTGCCTAGGAAATTTTAGTTTTACCACCCTGATACCTATTGCCTGTCCCTCTGCCCACTGCATGGCAGCTACACAGTTTGTACTCTGTGATCATTTGGTTCCATGTCTGTCCTGTGGCCACTAGCCTTCAATCACACTAAGGACAGTGGCTTTCTACCATTCTCAGTAATTTAAGCCTAAATCTTGTTTTTTTCCATTTAAATCAAGAAAAACCCATGATTTTATTCGTAATGAGAAACCAAATACTCTGCTTTTAGGCACAGAGATGGAAAGAATATGTTTCTGCTGGTAAGGCCGATTGAGGTTTCCTGAACACACAGGAGGTTTTCCATTCTGTTTCCTTTGTTCTGCTTCCTGTGGTCACAACCAGCGGTGTGCTGGACTAGCCGTCTATAAGCTCTTGAGAGCTGATTGTTAGATTTTCAGAAAGTTTGTGAGCCATTTGTTAAACACAGCTATTAATAAAAATTAAAATTAAGTAAGTTACTGTTATAGTTTGAATATATGTGTACCTCTGAAATTCTTATATTGGAATTTAAATACCAACATGATAGTTTTAAGAGGTGAGGCTGTTGGCAGTGGGTCAAAAGGCTTTGTCTGCATAGATATGATTAGTGCCCTTAAAGAAAGGAATTGAAAGGAGCTAGCCTTTTCTTGCCCATGTACTCTCCCACCATGTGAGTAGACAGCAAGAAGTCACTGTATGAGGAACAGGCCCTTACTAGGCACCCAATCTCCTGACCCTTGAACTTAGATTCCCAACTTCAGAACTATGAGAAAATAAATGTCTGTACTTTATAAATTACCTAAACTGAGGTATTTTGTCATGGTGGCACAAATAAACTAAGTCAGTTACACTAAAAACAAAAATAAAAAATATTCGAAACTCACTCCTACTTATGTTATTATATTTTACTATTATCTGTGCTCCTAAAGTTCTTTATGCCTGTGTATGTGTCTGTGTGGTGAAAATACTGCTGAGTGGTATGCTGCCTGCTTGTGTCCCCAGCTCCCCATTCAGCAATAACAGGTTTGAAGCTTGAAATCAGCCATGATGGGAGTATTTGCAGAAATTGAGGCTTCATTTATTGTTTTGTTGTTTATTTAGACTGAAAAAGTAGATTAAACTAAAAGTGTTTTGTGTCCAATGCTGTTCATTTTTGAATAGTACAACATATTGAGGAAATATTCTTCCAACATTTGAAAACTATTATCTAGTTTAGCTAGGAGGTTGCTTATTTATTGATGAGTGAGTAAAGTTCCTGCTTAGTTCTCATAGTTTCACTTTGTCTCACTAATGTAGCAAAAATATCACCAACATTCATCAAATCTACACTAATTTGACAGTCATATAAGGGAGCAGGTATTTACAAACACTTATTCATTATCTGATTCTGTAGAATGATTATTGGTGGTTGAATTATAAAAAACTGATGAAAGTTTTAACAAGAAAAAAAAATAAGAAATAATGCTCAAGTTATATGTACACGAAACTTACAAAAATAGTATAAAGTTTTATTTAATTTTATAAATCATGTGCTATACATACTTTCTAACAATAATGTTCATAATAAACGTACATAATGCATGTCTGCATACTATGTCTCCAGACAAGTAGTCATTTGCACACCAATGATAGGTTGTATGTGATTTGGTCTAGTTTTCTGCAGCCCTGGTGGTATTGTGAAATTGTATTTTTGGTGGATTTTGAACCTTAAGATACCTTCACAACCCTTCAAAAATGAATATTGCAAGGAGAACCTGAGCAGCGTGGCTTGGGAAAGAGTTGTCTGTCCTTGATCCCTCAAGTACTTCCTATAAGAGATGGCATTTTTTTTTAAAGAGAGAGTGAGAGAGAGAGAGAGGGAGAGAGAGAGAGAATTTTTAATATTTATTTTTCAGTTTTTTTGGGGACACAACATCTTTGTATGTGGTGCTGAGGATCGAACCCGGGCCGCACGCATGCCAGGTGAGCACACTACTGCTTGAGCTACATCCCCAGCCCCCAAGAGATGGCATTTTAAGCTTTGGAGATGAAAATTCCATAACCCCACTCTCAGTTTGGAACCTAATTGCTTAGATTCCAAATCAAGATGAGTATTACAAATATTGCTTTTGAACATGGGGCAGAAATTTAGCGTTGACATTTCTGGCTCTAACCTGTTGTCACTTAATGGGGAGCTGGGGAGAAAAGTGCTCCACTTTGCAGAGTGTGCTGGGCATGCCTGTAATCCCCACTACTCAGGAGGCTGAGGCAGGGGGATGGCAAGTTTGAGGCCAGCCTCAGTAATTTAGTGAGAAACTGTCTCAAAATTTAAATAAATAAATAAATAAATAAATAAAGGGCTGGGGATATAGCTCATGGTAGAATGCCCCTCTACCAACCTGTAAACTTGTGTGTGTGTGTGTGTTTCTTAGATAATAGAATGTGGATTCATCTTTACCATTAATCAACATGTGAACCAAAGCCAAGTTCGCAAACTTGAACTGTACCATCTGCAGAGTAAATTACCGAGAAGTCAACCACAGCCAGTAACCATGTCCCTCTCCATGTCCACCTCCCGGGGAGGTGAGCACCAGGACAGAAGCGGAGGCTGTGTGCTGTGTTTAGGAAAACCTTCCACAGGTTAGTGCTCCATGAGCAATTAAAAACTTCTAAGGAAAAAAAAAATAAAATAAAAACTTCTAAGGCATTTGAGCTCATGAGAAGAAAAAATTTTATTCATTAATTTGTAAAAGTTGTAAAAGTGATATATTCAAAATGTCATTGAATGTCACAAAGTAGCCCAGAAACCCATAGTTTCTCAAAACAGAAAATATGCTTGTGGCCTGCAGGTGGAACAAAAGAATTTCATTTTTTTTAAAACGAGGTTCTAAAATTTACCCCCCAATGGGAATCAAACAGATCAGAGGAGGCAAGCCTTGGAGAACACATTATCTATTTCTCTGACTCCCACTTGAGGAGTAAGCATTTCATTAAAGTAAACTTTTTTGTTTTTTCTTTTTTTGCAGTGCTGGGGATTGAACAAGGCCATGTATGCGAGGCAAGCACTCTACCAACTGAGCTATAGTCCCAGCCACCTCAAGTAAACTTTTGAAACTTAAAATATAACATTCAGGATGCAGCATAAGCCACAACTGACCAGCTTGAGAAATTTCCCCAAATGTATGTTCAAAATTCCATAAAATTTTTACTCATGTGTCAAGTTAGTTTTCCTTTATGTTGATAAGTTTGGCAGCTATGGAAAAGTTAGAAGTTATTCAGAGCCCAAAAGCAAAATTACTGATGTACAACTCATGCGTGTTTAGTGAGCCACCTGGCTTCCTACCTGAGGCTGTAGAGCACCTTGCCATCCGGCTGGACCCGCAGCATGACGTTGTCTGTGGTGGTATCGTGGATGAAGGAGCGCTTGGAGTGCACGAAAAACATATCCGGGACCCAGATCTTCTTCACCAGCCGGCCGTCAAATGTCATGCTGAGGTTATTGGTGCTGGGAAAAGACAGCCTCTCATCCTTCCAGTAGTGCCTCAGGTAGAGGGTCATTGTAAAGTCCTTCGGGCAAAGAGAAGAGAGAAAATCCAGACACACATCTACCCGCTGGAATGTCAGCAGGAGATTCTGTACCCCTGGGGAGCAGTCACCTTGCTGGGGAATGAAACTGAGCCAGGTGAGGTCTTGCTTTTGCTACAGCAGGAGGACACTTTCAGGGAGAGGGAGCCCAGCAAGAGACCTGTGGCAGACAGTGTCCCTGAGTTCCACCCTGTCTCCAGCATTTACATCTGTGCTGGGGAGGCTGCTTCACCAACTTATGAGTTAAACAGAAACGTGGCCTGAGAGTTGGTGCCTTTGGGCTTCCCTCAACCAGAGAGGAGGGTGGTGGGTAAATGGTCCAGCTCTCTCACCCTTTGGATGGGACAACCCTGGGCCTTTTCTGATTCCTGAAGAACTAGAGTGGGACTGAGTCCTCCAGGAATGACTGGTTTGAGAGCACAGTCCTTTTTGCACCCTTCTCCTTCCCTGTCTCACTTCCCCACTGTGTTCCGGTGTTTCCCAGGATCACCTCCCCAATAAATTTATGCTAGAATGCTTGATTCCGATTTTTTTTTTTTTTTTTTTTTTCTACCAGGGATTGAACCCAGGGGCACTTAACTCCTCATCCCATTTTTTTTTTTTTTTTTTAATTTGGAGACAAGGTCTCATTGAGTTGCTTAGGGCCTCACTAAGTTGCTGAGGCTGGCTTTGAACTCACGATCCTCCTGCCTCAGACTTCTGAGCTACTGGAATTACAGGTGTGCACCATCACGCCCAGCTCAGATGTGCTTCTTGAGGGACCCAAACTAAGATAACTTTAAAAGTTCTGTAAGTGTCGTAGAATGTTCTAATATTTTATCAGAACCCACCAATAAATAAGTTAATTAATTCAAATTAAATGAAATGGAAGGGCACTCTTTTGCTGCTTCTGCATTTCTGTAGCCAGGCTTAGAATCTGCAGGAATAAGATGTGTTGGGCTACTTGGCAGCTGCAACCTTAGACCCTGCAGTTTATATTTGACAGCCTTTGCCCAGAGAATGCATTCTGGCCTCAAGAGACTATGTAATAAAGGGAGAAAGGTCAAGTTTGTCATACCAATGGGGTAGCCTTGGGCAAATGTCACAATCTTCCTGATCCGTCAGTAAAGTCAGCTTGGGAATGTCCACTTCCCAGGAATGCCCACCTCCCAAGGAAGCTGTGAATTCAGGTCCCCTGTGAATGTTCTTGCTCACATTCCTAATCAGAGAAGCACTTACCATGTCGACCTCTGAGATACTGTCCAAGCTCTCCACCTGCACATCCACGCCAACAGGAATGGCTGGGCCTGGGGACAGGGCATAACAAGAGCATTTATTCTTTTAACTTAAACTTTTACTATGCAACAGTTAAGCAAAAGAAATATTTTCTCTGGATCTTCAGAGTCAAGTCAGATTTGAAGGTCTGGTTATGCCAACCTGAAGTCCAACCTGAGATAAAAGGAAGAAATCGTGGGCTGGTTCCCCATAAGGTTTCCTTCCTTATTCCAGAAGGCAAAAAAAAGATGGAGGGTTGGGTCTGAATCATTCAGGTGATTCTGAAATGATGAGGTTAACCTATAGAATTTTTCTTTGGTACATGCTCATCCAAAGCTATGATGAAGACCCAGGTCAAAGGCTGGGTCAAACCTGAGAAGTAAGTGATTTACTCCTTAGCATGAGGCCACCCACTTTATTTTCTATATGCACTTCCTAATTTTGCATCATCATAGAAGCCGGCAGTTCTTGTCTGACCACAAGAAAGGCATAGCTTGGAAATAATTCCCAGAACTGATTTTCAGATCATTTATTTGTCAGATCCACAGATCTGCATCTTGGCTACGTGGAGTAGCTTTTAGGGGAACATGATATACCAGGATGGCCTTTGAAACATTAGACTTGTTATCATTTCTGAGCCATGAAAACTTAGTATTGATCAAGAAAGCATAATAAAGGGGATAGGTGGGCTGGGATTGTGGCTCAGCGCTTGCCTAGCATCATGAAGCACTGAGTTTGAATCTTTAGCACCAAATACAAATAAATAAAAAGTCCGTCAACAAAGAAGTGTGTCACATTAGATTGGGTAGAGAGAAGTGATGGGAGGGGAGGGGAGAGGGAGGGGGAAAGGAAGGACAGCAGAATAAAATAGACATTATTATTGCTGTGTGTATATACGTGACTGCATGACCCATGTGATTCTGCAACCCGTACGCTCAGAAAAATGAGAAATTGTATCCCATCTGATTCAAATGTATGATATGTCAATATCATTGTACTGTCATGTGTAACTAATTAAAACAAATAAAAAATTATTTTAAAATAAATAAATAAATAAATAATATCATGACAGTAAATATTTAAAAAAAAGTTCGTCAACAACAACAATTTTTTTTAAAAAAAAAGGGGGATAGATTTCTACCTCTTTCCTCTCTGCAGGATGTGGGTCAAGCAGAGAGCCCACTAAAATCATCACAGAGTAAAAAGGTAGACTTGAGTCCAGGAAGGTTATAGAGATTATGGAAAAGGTAGATTGTGGAGTGAATAGAGATATCTTTCTAGAACCTGCAGAAGAAATAAAAGGAATAAAAATAATTTCTTTAAAAAAAAAGCTTTTTTTCGGGAGAAAAGCCTATTTGTCAAAGAGGAAAACTCTATTTGTCACTAAAAGGGCTGAAACCGGCAGCTGCAGGCTAAGCTTCAAAGGGCTTTGGCATTCTTCTGCACTAGATCATTAATTTTTAAGCTATTTTCATGTAATTAAACCAAGTAGACCACACTCTTCCCTCAGATATGTACTCAGAGTTCATCTGCCAGCTCCCAGATGAGGACAAATTTAGTCAAGGTTGTTGGAATAAATCTCAGAGCATTTTCAGAAGGCAGCTTTGGGCTGCAGCTGCCCCCACCTTAAACAGCCAGCTGTTGGCCCCACTGATCCTGAGCCATCCTTTTCAGGAGCAGTGGACCAAGGACAGCTGGCTGGTCTAGCCTGGCTACCCACTAGCAGGCGTTCCTGAGAAGGTGTTCAGGAGAGCCCAGGGTAGGGAGAGTGAATGCTCAGAAGATGCTGTGAGCGTGGTGCTTTATGCCAACACAGCTGAGGCCAACTCAATCAGGACCTGAGCAAAGCCCTTAGACTTGGTTTCCCGGATAGAAGGACCCTAGGAAATAAGATACCCCACAAGAAGGCTCATTTCATACCTCCAAAGCCAGGCCTCATGCTGAAATCGTGGTCATCTATCCTCAGCAGCTGCTCTGACTTTGTCAGAGGCGATTTGGTGATGTCAGGGCTGCGTTTCAGAATTGGGCTGCTGAGGGGAAGAAATAGGTGGATCACATATCCTAACCAAGGCAGGTAAAAACTATTCATATTCTGACCATATTGACAGGTTTGATGGGATGTGTTATTTCTTCTTCTAGTCCTGGATGTCCCCTCTTCCATTCTCCAGCTTTTTGGGATAAATAAACTGACCCTGAAGGTCTAGGTCAGTGGTTCTCCAAGGAGTCATGGTAAAGCTTGGGCCCTGCCTCAAAGATGCTGATTTGGATGATCTGGGAATTAAACCTTCTCAAGGCTGGAAGTATTGTTCTGTAGTAGAGCTGCGTTCAACCCCAGGCACCACCTGCATGTGCTCTCTCTCTCTCTCTCTCTCTCTCTCTCTCTCTCTCACACACACACACACACATATACACACACACACACATTCTTCCCAGATGATTTTTATGTGTAACCACGACTGAGAGCTGCTGTCCTGGTCTTATTAAGAAGCCTAAACTCCTCCCCAAATACCCCAGATTAAAGCCAGTGGGTATGACTGAGCTTCATGTCCTTGACCTTTTGTTGGACAGTGCTGGGAGGGTGGACTCTCTTGAAAATTAACCACCCTTTATCCATGGCAGGCAGCTTCTGAATTACATCTAAATTTTTATTTATTGTCACTTTTTTTTTTAAAAAAAGTAAGATAATTGCAGAGTTTTGCAATTTAAAAAAATGCAACGAAAAGTTGGTCCCTACCTTTGCCTCTACCCATCCCTTCCTACATCCACAGGTACTTCTCTTATTGGTTTCTTGTATTCTTCTAGATATAAGTAAATAAATACAGATATATATTCTTGGTTCTCTCCCTCTTTTTGCGGGGGAGGGGGGACAAGGTTTTCACTAAGTTGCTTAGGTCCTTGCTAAATTGCTGAGACTGGCCTGGAACTTGCCATCCTCCTATCTCAGCTTCCTTAGCCACTGGAATCACAGGTGTGCACCACAGCGCCTATCAGCTTTCCCCTTCTTTATATGGTTTACTGCTGATAGTAGGCCCGCCCTGGCCCCTGGGGACTCAACCCCCAGTTCTTTGTTATGCATGTCAATGTGGCCAGCTCACAGGGCCATGACGCAGGCTTGCGGTTCCCTGTTTATCTGCCTCGCACATATGTGTCTCGGGAACATCTTGACCTGTTCGAGCCTCCTGATAGGGGACGGTGACGTGACGGTAACCCAAGGACGCAGTTATTACTCTCCCCTCCTCACTTTTGAGTAATTTCCCGCAGCTGTTAAAAAGATATATAAGGGGAACAAATCTGGCAATAAAGCGCGCGCGCACACGCTCCCTCCTGGATGAAGAACCTTGGTGTCCTGTGTATTTTTAACCCCGACGTCCCTCGCCGGACTCGGCTCCGTTAGCCGGACGCGGCATCTGGAGGTTCCCACCGAGATCCGGAAAGTAGGGGTAAGCGGACGGGGCTCACCTTCTAAAGGTAGAAGGGGGAGGATTGGTTTAAAGGTAATTTAAAGAGACAGGGTACGTACCATGGGTAATAAAAACTAAGACTGCAACCGAATTCTTTGAAGTTATAGCCCAGGCTTGTCCTTGGTTTCTGACAGGAGGCTTTCTCAATAACAATGATTGGGATTTAATTTGGCAACAGCTTCGCAGGGCTGTTGTGTCCGCCAAAAACTAAAAAATAAATATTAAAAATTCTCTCTCTCTCTCTTAAAAAAAAAAAAAAAAAGCCTTTATAGTTGCTTTGTCATCACTGAAAACAGGTTACTAAAGATTAAAGTCCCTTATAGGCTTTTTAGGATATTCATTCCCGTCTTCCCCCTCCCTACCCAGGCCCACAGAAAAGTCTTAACTGGCCTTCTCCAGAAATATTCACCATGGCTGGTGTTAGGACTATCAGAAAAAAAAAAAAAATCCCTACAAAAAAGTTTAATGTAGATAAACTTCCTATTTTCGTGTTGCCCTGTTTTACTTGGCTACTGTCTGGAAAAAATCAGCACTCCAAAAGCTAGACACCTCCTTACTAGTTTTTCACAAAAATATGTAAACAAGGCCTCTGGCCTTGAGCTGGGCTTCATAGTGCTGACTACATTTCTAAGATAAGGAAGTTACCAACTGGGCTCCATGGTAACAGCTGGCAGGGGGAGGAAAGAAAGGGAAGAAAAAGCTCACCCCTTCCCAGGTGTCCTTGAAGGGTTAACTTGCCCAGAACAGAGGAAAAAAAAAAGAAAAAAACCTGCTTTTTGTGAACTTCTGCAGACCGTGAACTTCTGAGCCCCTCCCCTTACATGTTGAGTGCAAAATTCTGAAACCACCTAAACTTGGGGTTCAAGGGATTAATTGATTACAGCAGAAGGTGTGCTCTCTGAATCTGGCTGCAACCAAATAAGACTGTTTCCCTATCTTTGGTGCTATCTTAGGTGCCTTGCCTTGTCCGTCCCTACAACAGTATAATTCTATACACTTAAACATTGTTCATGTTTTCATGAAATAGTAAACAGATGTGATTAATTGTGCAAATAACAAAATATCTCTTATTGAAATGGAATAATTTGCCTAAATTCAGAAATTTACACGGATTGGTTCAAAGTGTGAATAAAGAAGGAATTAACAGATGGGAAAGAGAAATTAGAAGGTTCTAGGTATGGATTTAATAGAGGGAAAATGTGTTTCTGGATAAGAGAGTCTATGTGATTAAGTAAATAAGAGGGTTTAAGCAAGTGATAAAGAAGGTCTGTGTATGTTGGTTATATATGTAAGTTTTTTGAGCAAGTAATCTTGAAGGAATTAAAAATTATACAACTATGGTTAAACAACAGCTGTGGTTAATAAAAATCATCAATGTAATTATGGTGCTGTTAATGTGTTCATATCTTCCAGGTATACAAGTCTGTAAGGTAGAAGCTTCAAAAGAACATTGTATCAAGCTGGTGTTCTAAAGTTGTATGGTAATTTTAGGCTCAAAAGAAAAAACATGTTGGAGATTTATTTATATCATTTGTGTTCTACAACTGGACTGGGTACGGCTATACATTCTTATCGCCGTCTATCTCAGCAGCTTATAGATGTGCAGACCCTATCTGGCACTATTAGGGACCTTGTGTTGCAAATAGGATAACTCAATTCATTAAGGACCAGATTAACATTTTAACCTCCAAGCCAATACAGGTTCACTACCAACGCCTGGAGATGGACGACTCCGCCCACGAGGTGTACTTACGACCCATCCGGAGATGAGATGTAACTGGACAGGAGCCAATACCCGAGCCCTCCTATGTATGCCTGCTTTTGCCCAGGTCCCTAATTACCCTGCCGACTTGGTGCCGTCATCCCAGACCCTTACGTTCAGAAAGCTCCCTGGTCATAGCTATCCCACTGGCAAAGATGATGACTGGGATCCGCAGTTGTGTCCTGCTGGCCATGACATCCTAACTGAAAAGTGTCCGTTTACGTAGGACAAGAGCTGATCTTGTAGTACCCAGTGACGGGCAACTTCCACGCTTGCACTGCAACCTAAGCCAGGGGAATGGGGCCTCCCCAGAGACGGGTAAGCAGTGCAGGGGCGGTGGACGACCTAAGACAGGGGCTACTTGATTCCCATTGACATGCAAAAAACAAAAAAGGGGGACTTGCTGATAGTAGGCCCGCCCTGGCCCCTGGGGACTCAACCCCCAGTTCTTTGTTATGCATGTCAATGTGGCCAGCTCACAAGGCCATGACGCAGGCTTGCGGTTCCCTGTTTATCTGCCTCGCACATATGTGTCTCGGGAACATCTTGACCTGTTCGAGCCTCCTGATAGGGGACGGTGACGTGACGGTAACCCAAGGACACAGTTATTACTCTCCCCTCCTCACTTTTGAGTAATTTCCCGCAGCTGTTAAAAAGATATATAAGGGGAACAAATCTGGCAATAAAGCGCGCGCGCACACGCTCCCTCCTGGATGAAGAACCTTGGTGTCCTGTGTATTTTTTAACCCCGACGTCCCTCGCCGGACTCGGCTCTGTTAGCCGGACGCGGCAGTTTACATTATATAATCTCTTCTACACCTCGCTTTTCCCTTATTTAATATGCCTTGGATTTTTTCCATGCCAGAGTGCCCCAAGCTTCTTGTTCTTTTTACAGAGCATAACATTCCATAAACAGATGCACCATAATCCATGTGACCAGTCCTCCACTGGCAGACACTGAGTTACCCCAGTCTCTTGCCATTACAAGCAATGCAACAGTGGCCTTCACTATTCTTCATTTACCCGTCAACACCATCTTTAGAATCCTCAGAAACAATTAACCATCTTCCCAGCTCTGTCTTATGCTGTGTCCTCTCTAGGGGACCATCACACACAGTTCCTTTCCATGGCATTTGCAGGTAAATGGATGCAGCTGGAGAATATAATGTTAAGTGAAGTTAGCCAATCCCCCAAAAAACAAATGGTAAATGTTTTCTCTGATATAAGGAGTCTGACTCATAGTGGGGTAGGGAGGAGGAGCATGGGAGGAATTGATGAACTCTAGATAGGGAAGAGGGATGGGAGGGGAAGGGAGTGGGCAGGGGGTTAGCAAGGGTGGAGGAATGTGATGGACATCATTATCCAAAGTACATGTATGAAGACATGAATTGGTATGAACATACTTTATATACAAATAGAGATATGAAAAATTATTCTATATGTGTAATATGAATTGTGATGCATTCCGCTGTCATGTATTTAAAAAATAAAACCAATTTTTTAAAAAAGAAATTGTCATGCTGCTGCTTTGCAGCCAATAAAAAACTTTATGTATGCTCTGGGGAAACACACACACACACACACACACACACAATTAACCGTCTTCCCAGCTCTGTCTAGGGGACCATCACACACACTTCCTTTCCCCAGTATAGACTCGGGCATGAGTCAGCATCTCCTGGAGGGCTCCCTAAAACCTAGATTCTGGAACCTTCCCCATCCCCTGCAGTTTCTGATGCAGTAGGTCTGGGCTGAGGCCCAGGAATTGTATCTCTAACAAGGTCAGGGCTGCTGCTGGAGCTGCTGGTCAGGAGAGAGCAGCTGGAGAGCTCTGCCCTGGTGCCTGTTATTCTCAACCCGCGTGGGCTCCTCCCTGTGACTGGCTGGGTCCACCTTTCAGTCCCGTTATCCGGCTTCCCTTAAGAAACCTGCTAACATTGAGGAGAAAAAAAAAATTAAGGCTGGGAATTAGAAAAAACAGGACTCTGTCCTCCATTTCCTAACCGCCTACTGGGTGCCTCTGGGGAGTCTGTTTGCCTGATTGATAAAATTTGGTTCCTGATTGATAAAAGGGACAGGTGAGAGGGTTGAATGGGATAAAGTGTGTGAAAGCTTTATTAAACTATAAAGCGACACACAGAGGCAAGGAGCCTTTGTTCCCATTGTAAGCTGAGGAGGGAGTGTCCCTTAAAATGAGGAAAGGACCCAGTTTGTAGCAGAATTGGCCCAGGAAAGAATCTGAGCAGGGAATCAGGACTGCGAGGGAGGAAGCTGGGAGCACAAAGGGAGGAAAGCCAGTCCCCTCTGTGGTGAGTCCACCCTCACCCCCCACCTCCTGGCGCCCTACATCCAGGAACCACTGCTATTTCCTTTTGGGCTCCCCTTCTTCTGGTCCCACCCTCTGCTTCCAGGTCCTTGGGTGGCGGGTGGGGTGGGGTGGTTGAGGTGTGGGAAGAAACCTCTTTAGAAGGGTGAGTGTGCTTTTATGACCATACCTGCCTTGCTTGTGGACATCTTCATGTGCTTCCCGTCTCTGTCTTTGAGGCCGACTATGAAAATAAAAAATAAAGACATTCTAGAGACAGTCTGGGTACTCAAATCAACCAAGCCCCCCACACACTTCAGATTGCTTCAAATCTAACCAGAATCAAATATGGGGGAAAAAACTGAGATTCAAAGCACTAATTTAGGCTTTCAATAAGCTTCTTCCAAGTACCTACAGGGACTGAAAGATTAATTATTTTAAAGAAGTGATAAAAAAAAAAAAACTGACTTAAAATCTCTCCCCCTCTAGTCTACCCAAGGCTGAAATTGATGCCATTCTTTCAAAGGGTTTTTCTTCTTCTTCTTCTTCTTTTTTTTTTTTTCTGATACCAGGAATTGAACCTATAGACATTTAATCACTGAGCCACATCCCCAGCCCTTTTTATTTTGAGACAGGGTCTTACTAAGTTGCTGAGTCTGGTTTTGAACTTGTGATCCTCTTTCCTTATTTAGATTGCACATTTTAAATTGGATCCACCATAAATAAAACTTTGGAGAGTAATACATTGTCTGGTAAGCTGTTTTCCCTTGGTCCTTACCCTCTAGCTATGGTTTCTGTCAAATGACTATGGGAAGTGATGAAGAAGAAGGAGAGAGAGATCAGAGTATATGTTATCTCCTTTTTTTGATGCCAGGGACTAGCAATGCCTGCGTTGTTCTGCCTGGGGGTAGTCAAAGCTTCCTGCTCTTCCTAGTCCTTGGGAACAGGAGGATGCCTGATATTCCCTGAACCCCACCCATGTCTCTGTGAATAGTTCTTTAATTCCATTATTATTGTTTAAGCCCTTTTGAGTGCAATGCTGTTTTCTGCTAGGACTTCACTGATGCAATAGGGCACATTAGGATGGACGTGCAGGGATTATGTTATCTGTAGTAAAGTGGAGCAGAGGCAGGTGTGAGCTCTGCAGAAGGGCGAAAAGCTAAGATTGGAGGGCAATAGGCCAGGAAGGGCAGAATCCTCAGCACATCAAGCACCTTGGGCAGAGCTGGGCCCCAGTGGACTCACAGCACAGGTTAGTTGAATAAAGGAAGGCACCATCCCCTTTACATGGGCACCCGGAAAAAGAGCTAGGCAGGACTGAACACAGGGGTCACAACAGAAAACAAGCTTGGTCCAGTACTGACTCCAACTTTAGGCCAGCCTGCGGAACTGGACACTGCCCAAAAGGAGGTTTGTCACACTCTGAGATGCCACCAATGTTGCCTCCATGAAGCTCAGGGTCTAGCGTAGAGAAGACTGATAAACAGGACCCTTAAAGTCTTTTTATTGTTGATTAATATTTTTGAATACCCGTCTAAGAAAAACTGGAAAGTAGGTTAAGCATAAAGAAGACGAAAGCAATTCAGAAATAATCTGTCATTCTATAAATATCTTTACAGTCCTCAGAGACAGATTGCACTGTAACTTGCTTTTAAACTCAAATTATGACATCATGAAATACTTTCTCATGTCATTGACATCTTTTACTGGTTGTGGGATATGATTATTAATGTTGAAAATAGTAGGAACACAACATAGTAGGAACAATGAACACTGCTGAGCACTTAGGACCTGCTAGGTACTATTGTGATTCAATGACATGTATTCAGCTCACATATTCCTCTCAACACTCTGTGAGGCAGGCCTTATCATTACCCCCAATTTAAATATGATAAAACTAAGACACAGAGGGCTTACATAACTTAAAATGATGGCACTAGGAGTCAGATACAGGGGGTCTGACTCCAAAGGTTGGAAGCAAAATTGGTCACAGTGTCTTTTTGAAAGATCTGCTTCCCCACTGCCAGGAATTTGGGTCAAAGGCGAAGGTCTTTCTCTCATGCAGAAGTTAGCATGGACCTTACAAAAAATTGATGCCCAATAAGTATTCATTGAATGAGCCCTTATTTTCATTTTGGATAGAATGAAATTCCCACCTATGAAACTTGGTGTCTGCGTGCTATAGTTTCTAGTCAGCTAGTGTGTATTTTTTCTTAAAATAGGTCTCTAAAACTTCTCCCAGGTTGAATGGGTGGTGGTGGTGGTGGTGGTGGCGGCAGGCAGGGGGGGGGGGGGGGGACCTTTGATGATGGAGGACTATGGAAGGCTCAGCCAGCGCACAGGAGTGCACCTGATAAATTGATGACATCATCTCTGAGAAGATAGGGAAATTAGTTTTCACAAGGAAGCAAAAATGAACTAGCAAAATCAGTCCTGCTTTCTTGGCATTCATCAAAACCAAGGAAAGAGATGCTTGTTTGTGGTCCAAATACTGGGATATGGTCCTGACTTCTCTCTCTCTCTCTACTTCCTCACTGTGGGAACAACTGGGCATGTGCCGCAGTCTGGCTGGGCACAATTCAGGAGCCACTTGTCAAAAGAAACTAACTTTATTTTTAGAACCACACACACCAAACAAAACAGCTCCTCAGGAAAAACCCTCAGAGCCCAACTGCCACCACGGCTTCCCACAAGCCTCTCAACCTCCCCCACTCCTCCTGCTCTTGAGGCCGATTGGCTGGGTCGCATGGGCGGAGCCAAAAAAAGTCCCCCAATGAGCAGCTCCATAGACTGAAAGGGCGGGGAAACAGCCCAATGAGCATCACCGCAGAGGAGCCAATTAGCTAGATGTTGCTGGGGCCGCTGTAAGCCAATCATCAGCTGGCAGTCTGAAAGGGCAGTGAAACAGCTCAATGAGCATCTCCAATGAGCATCACCGCAGAGGAGCCAATCAGCTAGATGTTGCTGGGGCCACTGTGAGCCAACCATCAGCAGGCAGTCTGAAAGTTTGCTGGGGCCCCTTCGGCTGTGGCTCTCAACAGGCATGTCCAGCTCTAGCTGCACTGTTTGGAGGTAGGTCTGCCTGTAGAGATACCCTTTTCTGATTTGCAAAAAGTCTTTGAATAGACCAGCTGGGTCCCTACCCACACCACCCAGCCCACCAATCCTGAACCTCTTCCAGATTTCTCTCCCTGCCCTGCTCCCACTGCCCTATGCATCATTTTTTTCTCACAAAGGAGGCAGCAGGCTTTCTTCCTTTTGCCTTGCCCTTCTCTAATCCAACCATCATATCAACACCACGTAATGAGAATCATAATCACACCTCTCCCTCTCTTAAAAACCTTCACCCTCAAAGTCAAATCCATAGACATTGGGCACACACAGCCCATAATAAGTCTCTACCCTCTGCCTTGGCTCCCACTCTGGTCCAATTACTTACAGTTTGCAATTACATCTCTACACTCTGCTCCTGATGTCCCAGGTGTCTGCAATGTCCTTCCCACCATTCTTCACCCCTTCCCTGCCCAAACAACTCCATGTGCTCCCAGGTAGAGTACTATTGCCTCTGGAGGCATTTCTGGGCCTTTCTCCTTCCCACTGAATTCTCTACAGGTTTCTGTTAGGATGTGTACCATCCTGTGTGGCAATGAGCTTTCTGACCACCTCATTCCACTGTGAGCTCAGTAAAGGAAAGCCTCTTCCTTATACAACTCGTAGGCCCTGTGCACAGCTTATTCTATGAAGACTTAACAGAATGCGGAAGGAGAAGCACAAACCCAAGGGTGTATTCTAGAGAGTTTTATGAACCTATGAGGTCTCCTTGGTGCACAGGAGCAGACACACCTCCAAGCAGTGGAGCCAGGACTGGACATGCCCAATTGTTCCCATGGGTGAGGGTTAGAGACAAGAGGATTCAAGTTTAATATCCGAGCATTTGGACCACAAACAAGCATTTTTTTCCCCTTGGTTATTACAAAAGCCAAGAAATCAGGATTGTTTTTGCTAGCTAGTTCTTACTTCCTTGTCAAAATTGATGTCTCTATCTTCTCAGAAATGATGTCATCAGTAGGACTCAAAGACATGATAAAGTAAAGCAAAATTTTATAAAGTTGAGTTCTAGCTGGAAGAGTCTGTAGAAGGAAAGAAGCTGCTTGAAGAAGAAGGGGCCATGTTAGCAAAGGATTACAGTGAGGCTAAGGTTCTGCTAACAGAATCCTGCTTTACTTTGATATTCTCCCACAAAGAGAACAGCCTTCAAATTGGAAAAAGTGAAGAGAATTCATTGCTGCCCAGGAGAGTGAACATGACAGCATGAGATCAACCAACTCAATGATTCAGCCCTGCTTGTGCATCCGAGGAATCACTTAAGGAGTTAAAAACAAACAAACAAACAATCAAAAAACCCCACACCATACCCCAGAGCAATTAAATCAGAATCTCTGAGCATGGGACCCAGTCATCAAGTCATCAAACCTCAGGTGGCTCTGATATTCTGACAACATTCAGAATTTCAAAATATGGAGTTCAAGTCTACAGACCCAGAGGAATGACATCTCAGGAAATTTAAGGATACTGCAGCAGAGAAAAACTGGAAGATGGGAGAGTGGCCAGACAACTAAAGATGGGGAAATGCTTTCTTGATATTCAAAAGGTGGAACAGGGTCCTGTGGAAACTGCTAAGGTTATGTTCCAGGTTGATTCCTGGCCATGTTCTAGAACTTTGGTTACAAAAGGACTTGGGAGCATTACTGCATTGGATCATGTACCAATAACATTAGATCAGTGTGAGTTCAATCAGAGCAAAACATCCTATTCTGATCTCATGTCCCTAGGTGGGGCCTTCAGATTAGCAGACCAGGGAGCATTGCTGGGTGCTATTCATAATGTGAGTAGGCCTCCTCTAATCAGTTGAAGAGAAAAAAAAGACTGAGGATTTCAAAGAGGAGGAATTCTGCAAGCAGGTCCATGTTGCTTGCCAACTTGCCTTTGTACTTAAGACTGTAGCATCAACTCCTGCCAGAATTTCCAGGCTGCTAACTAGCCTGTCCTACAGATTTCAGACTTGGCAGCCCCTACAAATGGTCTTTTTTTATTAAATTTTTTTTAGTTGTAGACAGACACAATACCTTTATTTAATTTATTTATTATTATGTGATGCTGAGGATCCAACCCAGTACCTCATGCATGCTAGGCAAGTGCTCCACCACTGAGCCACAACCTCAGGCCCCTCTACAAATGTCTCAA